CGGGAGCGCTAGGTGGGACCAGCCCTGGCCAGGGAGATTCGAGAATGTGCCCCACAGAGAGAATGAATAGTAAAGCAGAACAACAGATACAGGAGGGAGATGAGCACATGATGTGGGAACAAAGGCGGTGGGTGCGGGTGAGGGAGGGTATTTGCGAACAAAGACGATGGGCGTGGGTGAGGGAGGGGATGCGGAGGTACGTGTTCAGTCAATAGTGATAATGTCAGCAGGATCGGGGGTAGCATCAGCATTACGACGGGCCCGCGCCCCCTTCTTGTCCTTCAGAAAGTCGACCATCTCTTCCTCCGGGATGAGGCCAGGAACACTCGCCCAAGACCCCAAAACAGTGTTGGCACGAACACTGTCGTTCCCGAGAGAACGCCGCAGGCGTGAGACCGTCAGGCGACCGCGAGAGAAGGCGCGCTTGGCGTCGGTAGAAGTCGCTGGATAGAGTGAATATCAGTCAGAGTGGATGGAATGATAGAGAAATAGGAACTTACCCGGGATAGAGAGGTAGTCAAGAGCCATGCGGGCAAGCGCATGGTCCTCAGACTTGCCCTTGAGGGTGCCAGCCCAGTACGCGAGCGGGTCCTTCACAGTTGTTTTGGGCGGTGCGTTGAGGTACTCCTCGAGAGCATCTACCGCGCTGCGCGAGCCCGCGCGTGTCTCAGTAATAGTCGCGAAGAGCTGTCGAAGGACAGTTAGTATGGGTGCCTCGAAGAATGTTGTTACAGGAGGACTTACCGCCGCACTGACACTATGTGAGCTCTTGCGGGCAGTGTTGCTCTTGACGCCCGACGAAGAGGCCCGAGAAGACGACGCAGAGACGGAGGCGGTGGGCGCGGAGGGGGGCTGGGTGGTAGGAGCATCGATCTTGTAGTGGTTCAGCCAAACCTCCTTCGTGAGGTCACGCGCGATCTGAATCCATTCAGGAGTCCATCCGGCTTTGCGGAAGTACGTAAGCTTGAGGGCGGGGTGAAGAACTGGGGAATGTTGAACATTAGAATAAGTCTCAAGGGATACGTAGCTGCAAACACTTACTCATGGCGATGCGGTAAACAGGAGTGTCGTCAGTCTTGCTGTAGTACTTGTTTAGCATTGCACGCGCCGCGCGCGCGCCCTTGCGAACGACCGGGTGAAGATCGTCCTGGTCGACGAAGTCGTCCAGGTGCTTGGTGAGGATGTCGATGAACGGAATCACTACATGTAGAAGTGCACGCGTGTTCGAGGAGATCTGGACGGTCGCGTACAAGAATGGCTATGGGTGTCAAGATCATCAGCAGAGAGTAGCGGGCAGAGTAGGTGGGTGGTACTTACGTCCATCAGGTGGTAGAGCTGCTCAAGAATGGACCACTCATTGTCGTTGAGGATGAAACGGCGGAGACGGACACCGCCCGCACGATTGAATTCGTACTTGTCGCATAGCGCCCCGAGTACATCCTTCATTTCAAGTCCACGCCCGATCACACCCACGATGCTGTTCCACCGGGTGCGAACCATGCGAATGAGGACGCGCGCGCTGATGTTCGCGCTCTTTGCGAGCTCTTCCAGCTCTGCCCGAACGGGGGGGCTGTTCCAAACCTTGCCCGACAACTTGATAAGCTACAGGGGGCACAATAGGTGAGCGTTAAATGAGGCATGGCCCAAGGCGTGTAACTTACCTTCTCAAGAGCAAGAATCGCAGCCTTCTCCTCTTCAGGGGTGCACGGAGTGTCGTCGTCGTCGTCGAGCCCATTGTCGAGCATCTGATCGATGAGATTTTGATCAGCATCCTCGCGGGCGGGGTCGACTTCTTCCCCTTCGTTGTCTGACGAGTCGGCGTCCGAACCGTCAGAGAAGTCATCGTGTTCGTCCTGCAACACGTCGTCGTCGTCCTCGGACGTGTTCTTGCCAGCGCGGCTGCGCTTCTTGAGGAAGGGTTTGATGGCAGCCTGGTAGGGCATAACGGGTGAGGTCAGAATAGAGAGAACGATACATCAAATTACAACGTAGCTACAGACCTTGCTAACTAAGTTCAAGACATGTCCGAAGCAACGAACATGGCCCTCTCCGATGCGGGCAAATGGTGCACGGTCATGGAGCTGCCGCATGAGTGCGGTGTTGACCTCAGCGTTGTCGCATGTAACAGTGATGACCTGTAGTGGGGGTTGTGTGTAAGCAAGCGATACGCGTGGGCGAAGGGAAGGAAGGTACGTGAGAGACGAGGAGTGACTCGCACGAAAGAAGGGAAGTGACGTGCTAGAGGGGATGGGATACAGAAATCGCACAGAGGGGACGCGACACACGACTCGAGAGGGGATGGGGACAGAGATCGCGTGTGCAAGAAGCGGTTGGCAAGCTCACCTTGTCAAAGATACCAAAATCACGGAGACAGGCCTCGAGCTTGTCTGCGAGGAAAGTCGCATTGTGGGACTTGGTAAGCCTGCGAGGCGAGGTAAAAAGGTGTGAGTGAGGTCTGCAGGCGTTAGCAGCGAGGTGGAGAACGCACTTGACAAAGTCCAAAATAATGTGCCTCATCTCCCCCTTCTCAGTCCAATGAACGGTGATACCAAGGTACGAGATGATGTTCGGGGACGTCCAGCCATCCATGCACACGTGGACGCCCCCTTCGATGTTCTGATAACAATGTCAGAGACGTGGTTGGAGATGAACGGGATATACGTACCTTGAAATGGTCGATAACTCGCTGTTTCGCCTCCACATGGATGTCGCGGACGTCTTGAGATATCGTCTGGCGAGTCGGAAGTTCGACCTTGTTATAGAGCATCGCCAAGATCGTGCGGAACTCCTTGTCCTCCACGATGGTGAAGGGGCGATGATGGCGGGCACACCACATCGCAAGCAGGAAGCGCATGCGATGCGGGGTGTACGTGACCCCAGCGGCAAATTCTTCGATCAGTTGAACACCGGCCGGAGTCTTCTTCTTCGAAGGGTCGCAGCTGTTGACGTGCCGGACAAGATTCCCGGTGCTCTCTTGATAGTCGGGACGATCGACCTTCTTAGACGAGTGCCTGTACAGAATATGTACGTCAATGCCTTCAAGAAAAGAGACTCAAGTGCACAACGTACTTCTTGCACACGAAACGATGACTTATCGTCCCGTTGGGGTTTCGAATGACTGTCGGAAATTCGAAGTGCAAGTACACATCCGAACGCCAGCCCTTCGAAAGTTCCTCTGTAAGATATCAGCAATATGTTCGTCCCAGAGCTGAGCGATCGGACTTACCTAGAATCTCCTCTGGGGTCAGGTTCGGGAACCGCCTCTCGAAACGAGTCTGGCGACCACTCTTGGGGCCCACGATCCCAGCATTCTCCGCGGCCGCACGAGTGCGTTCTTTCAGGCCGCGAATGCCATCGTCGCTGTCAGAACTGTCAGTGTCGGACGGTGCAGCGCTCGAGTCCTTGTCCTTGTCCTCTGTGACCGACTTGGAGGACACAGAGATAGTCGAGCCCGTGCGCCGTACCTTCGCGCGCCGCTTGTCGCGCGCGCTGGGTGTGGTGGCGCTGCAGTAGATCGAAGAACGTGTGTTAGGACAGCACAATGAAATATAAGTGGACGAACCTGGCAGACTCCTGTGTGACGGTCTCGGAGCGGGGACGTTTGGCAGCTGCTACCGCAGCCGCGAGGGGGTTCTCGGGAGGGTTGGTGGGCATACTAATGTCGAGGGGAGGTGAATCGTCAGACGGTGGGTGGTTGAGTGGAATCTCTGACCTCACCGGAGCGAGTCTGCGTGGTATAAAACCTCGCTGGCGACTTGATGTGCGAGCTCCTGAATATGTCTGGCAAAGGTAGTGTTAGCCCGGAGAGCCGTGTCCCGCCTCGATGAGAGATAAGAGAGCGTGCTCACCAAGACAAGGACTGATCAGGTCCTCCATTCGCCCTGACCGCGCGCTCAAAGCCCAATCATGAGCCGGTGGAGGTACCACAAGACAGTCCATGAAGCGGTTGGGCTAGGAACACTGCGATGGCCGTGTTCATGGGGCGGTTCGAGTGGCGTGTGTGTGTGGCGAGTGGATTTGCAGCGATGTGTGCATTGATAAGACATTGCGACTGAGAACGGGATAGCAGCTGGGGGAAAAAGAAAGCAGTAGGGCAGCCGGGGTAGACTGAGTTCGGCAGGGGAGCTGAGGAAGCGGAGAGAGGATGAAGGTGAGCACTTGCAGAGATGAGGAGGCGATAAGGTACTCAGCCTGCACGCCTGACAGCACGCCATGCTCCCCAAAGCGGCACCTCGCTTCCGAGATGAAGCGAGGACTTCGACTCCCAGGCCCACGCCTTCCAGGAGCCGTGCGGTCAGCTGTGTCAGCTGCCACATCTACGTCGTCTCTTACCATCACCATGCCCTCTCAGTGAGTCGTCCATGCCCCTTTGATGTTTTGCCCTGGCTGATGTATCAACATCCTACAGGCGAGCTAACCATCTGACGATCAGCATGATGATCCTCAGATCGTTATCTCGCCTGGCGCCCAGCGCGCCTCCTGCCTGAAATGGCGTAATCGCCCAGCTCCCGCCCACCTTTGGATCTCTTTGGTCTCAACCAAGCCGGCGAGGGTGTCCTAGGATCCGAAGCGCACGTTGTACACTTAGGGCCCCCCGCGGACGACCCACTGTCTCCACGCGCGGCTCCCTCGTCGAGTCCTCGCCCAGCGGACCCTGGAACTCCTCGTGCAAACAACCGGCACCCCATCCTCAGCTCGCGAGGACAACCCATCTCTACGCGCAGACCCCTCGTCTCTTCACACAGCCGACCCGTCTCCTTGCGCAGCAGCAGCCTAATCAGCTCTTCAACGTGCTCACGCAGACGACCTCGCCCCTCCTCTTCTCGCGACATCCGGTTGAGTTGTCTTCCACCGCGTCGACCGCTCATAATCGCGACACCTGTCACGGTAGGTCTATGATACGATATCGCCATGTCCAACTAGCCATATGCTCACACGGTATATCGCAGGTTCAAGGTTGTGTCCTCCGACGACCATCTTGCAGTCTCGCTCTGAACAAGATGTCCAAATCCGCCCCCACCAGTTCCTCGTCTCCCCCAGCCCCCTCCGACATCGGGCTTGGCGACCCCATGGCCCTCCCCTCAGCAGTGCTGTCCATGTCGGGAGACACTCACGTCTCCGACGCCTACCTTAACTCAATGGGCCCTAGTGTCGACACTCCGTCCATTCCTCCCTCAGACACCCTCGCCGCTCTCTCCGAGCTCTACAACCTCGGCACGGACACCTCGCCTACTGGCGCCAGTGCTCACTCCGGCAAGACGTACGGGGAATTGATGGTCGCAGCAACGCGCCGTCTCGTTCCCCCCGCACGGTGGGCGAGCATGATCGAAGAGCTCGCCGAGTACCACCGCTCTCTGGTCATCGCGGAGCTTCTGGACACGCCGCGCCCCTCTACAATCAGCCCACGGACCCACGCGATCTTAGTAGAGACGCTCTTTGCGGGTGCGGATGCAGGCGTGTCTTCTCTCACGGACGACAGGGAGCAGGAGGGTGCTAATGGTGAGTCTGGCAGCCGCTCATGGGGTTGAGTCGTTGACTTACTAGGTTCAGACACAGGTGTGGCAGGCCCGGGCGCAGCTCCCGTTGGCCCCCAGATGCGCACGCGCACACGCAAGAGGAAGGGGAAGGGCAAGGGGAAGGGCAAGGGAGTGGGCAGGGGCGCGCGTGCGGACACTGACGCAGGTGTGGATGCAGGCGTGAGGGCAGGTGTTGTTGGCGCGACCCCCACCCACCCTTCGGTCGACGATGAGCTGCCCGGCCTCATTACCCCCGTCCACTCCGACAACGACTCCGACGCCTCAGACAATGAGTACAACTAGAAGCAATAAAGTCGGATTGAATGTGTATACATAGTCTGAATATGCGACTCTACCCGCGGATGACCCGCAGATCACGAGAAATCTGGCCAGCCTGATTCGGAACCTCGCCGAGCCGGATCCGCACTGAGTCGGAGCCGTGTGGATCACGAACCGCGACGCACGACTCCGGGTAATTGCGGGTCGATCTGCAAAGTGATCCGGAGTCTCGAACAGCCTTAGCCAACGCGAAGATCGGCTCACCATCAAGTGCGGACCACTCCCCCTCAAGCTCCTCCTCGTCCTCGGGCTCCAGCGCGGTCTTCACTGTCTCTCCTCCGATGGAGGGCGGGACGCGCTGGGCTCCTCTTCCACCAGTCGTCCCCGTGCCGCTCTGCAAGTCCTTTAGCCATTGTGTCGGCTTGCGATTGCGCTGGGGGCGACCCTCATTCGGCGGCGGGACCTCGGCTATCTCGCGCGGCGGCTCGATGGACGGCGGCTCGTCGGACGGCTCTTGGTTGGGCAGCTCAATGGGTTGTAGAAGGTCTGCGGGGGGCTCTATCGGGAGCATCTTGGCGCTCGCGGGTGGCTCTTCTGCGGGTGGTGTTGTAGTAAGTGCGGCAGGTGCAGGAGTGGCCGTGGAGAAGGTTGTAGGGGTCGTCGCGGACGGCGCAGACAGCTCGTAAGGTGCGTTATCACTGTTCTGCTCCCCCTCGAGCCATGCACCAGTGTCAGTGACGCCCCAGTCCACCTGTACCTCACATTTTGATAGATCAGTGATCCCGGATAATCCCACCCCCCTACCATAGACTTGGTAGGAGTGGGCCATTATTGGCAGCAAACAATTAATGAGATATGAAAAATAAAGAGAAGCCAGATAAACTATATTGAGCAATATTTCAAACATCACTGCAGTCACTACAACAGATATTAATACAACATATAGCAAGAGTGTTCTAAAGTCCCACTATGTCCATCACAATGAAACATTTAGGACCCACTGTGTTGTAGCTGCCTATCTGAATATAGTTGAGATGTTAGGTGATGTATTTGAATTTACAGAAGCAGACCACTGGTAGGAAAACTTGTGTCAACAAAGGGGTTGCAGGCATATAGGCCTTCTGCACAGCTTTCCAATGCATATACAATTATCAGAAACAGAAAAGAACTGATATTGCAGAACCCATCTAAAGTTAGTAGGCCCCAGTGATCATATATACACTGGGCCTCATCTAATGCATTTAAATACAAGCCATAAGTATATTAGTAACACACTCTATAGTCCCTTCTTACATAAATATAATCAGCAATTTAGGCAATGTATTGGATTTTACAAAACTTGAATACCTAGGTGTGCATAGCACAGTCACATTCAGAAAAAGCGGCACTAACAGGGATTGAACCCAAGGCTTCTGTATTTCTTACTCAGTCACTAAGGAAGCTATACTAGCTGAGCTGGGCTGAGTTTGAAATGCACTTTTAGCCACTATAGTTGCTGTGTCATCAGTATGAGGGGCAATTAGTGGCAAAAAGTGTCCATATATGGAGAGAGGCATGGGAGAGCCTGCAGATAAAGGTTGAGGGGACACTCAAGGAGCCCTTTACTAAAACATTTCATATAAACCACATCAGAGACAACTGAACTGCACCATTGGCTATTATAGTAGTTGTAGTTGTCTACAACTGTCCTTACATGTTCTTTATAGGACTACCATTGCCAATACCCAACATACTAAATCAAAACTGGCACTTTGCAGTGATTGTCTCCCACTATTGCTACTGACTATGTTCTATGTTAACTGTAGTTGCTCACTAGTATCAAAGTTGGCTGCTTGGACAGCACTCACCACATTGTTCAAATTTACTAGTCTGGCTTTGTTCACTACTCTGCTATCATATTCAAAGTCGCTAGTCTATTCAAAGTTACCAGTACAACATACTTACTGCCCTTCAAAGTGACTAGTCCAGGCTTATTGACCACTAACTTGTACCCCTTTATTAGTTACTAACCCCTACAAAGTTGCTACCACATTCAAAGCCAGTACTCTGGCCTCACATACTGCTTTATTTAGACTTACTAGTCTACTAGTTGGGCTTTATTTACTAGCTCTTTCAAAGTTGCTACCATGTTCAAACCTACTAGTCTGGCTTTACTCACTAGTTCATTCAAACCTTCAAGTCCAGATTTACTTACTAGGCCATTCAATGTCACTACTCCAGATTTCTATTTACCACCTTAATAAGTCAACTCTTGCCTTATGTACCACTGCATTCCGGTTGGTGGTCTGGCCTTACTTACTACTACATTCAAAGTTACTAGTCTTGTCTCACTTACCACATTGTTCAAAGTCTACTCCGGGTTTTTATTTACCAGTCTATTCAAAGTCTAGTCCGGAGTTTTGCTTGTCACCTGATCCAAAGTTACTAGTCTGGCTTTACTTACTAAGCTCAAAGTTGTTACTAGTTCACCCTTATTTACCGACCTGTCAATAGTTGCTACTATGGTTAAAGTCACTAGTTCAGGTTCGCTTGCTACCATGTTCAATGTTACTAGCCTGGCCTTACTTACTCCTCTAGGCAGTACTGACTGTCCCCTCCCTACTGTTATTGAAACCCTATTCACTCAGTTACTACTGCCCTATTGCACACTTATTAGTTGTTAGAAAAGTTGCTATAATGTTCAAAGTCATTATACTCACTAGTTTACTCAGTGTTACTTGCTGCCCTTTCAAGTCACTAATCAGGTGTTACTTACTGTCCCATTCAAAGGTGCTACAGCATTCATACTTAATAGTCCAGCCTCACTTACTAGTGTCACTAGTCCGGTTTTACTTACTGCCCTTCAAACTTACTAGTCCAGGCTTACTTGATACTGTGTTTTAAGCCATTACTAGTCAGTTACCACCCCGTTCAAAGTTACCAGTCCTCCCTTACTTACCACATTCTTTAGAGCCACTAGTCCGGGTTTTTACCTACTAGTCTATTCAAAGTCCCTAGTCCGGAGTTTTGCTTATCACCTTATTCCAAGTTACTAGTCCAACCTTACTTACAGGTCAGTCCACAGTTCTAGTCTGGGCTTAGTTACTACACTGTTCAAAGTCACTAGTTTAGACATTGCTTACTGTATTGTTCAAGGTTGCTAGTCCGGGTTTTTACTTATCACCTTATTCAAAGTCAGTAGCATGGCTTTGCTTACCATTTCTTGAACATACTCATCTGTGCTTACTTACTATCCCATTCAAAGGTGTTGGTTTAGTCTTACTTACCCCTCCAGGCAGCACTTACTGGCTCCTTCAAAGTGTTTGACCCTGTTGTCAAAACCCTGTCCAGTCAGCTGCTACCACTCTATTAAACACTTACTAGTTGGCTACACAGCTGAACTGTTCTCTACCAAGATGAAACATGCACTCTAGTTGGCTTTGTGTGAGAATGAAACCTTTAAAACCCCATACTTGCACCCAGAAACCAATGTACACTGTTAGTAGTGACTTAAACAAGGTCTAGGGTAGGTTTTTAGAGCTGCAGTGGTGCTTGGGCATGAGTTTCACAAAGTGCACATGTATGGCATTTAGCCTTTTTTGCATCAATCATGATCCAGAGACGTGACCATTAAAGGTCTTGACTTGAAACAAGTACTACTCAGTTTGTATGCTTCTTCTCCATTGATTTCAATTCACTCCAGCACACATCTTGGGCTAGGGGGCAGGCGGTGTGCAAATACTTTTGGGTGTGTAGGCTGTGGCTGTGCAAAAACGCGATATTGTGGACACCACTTTTCACGCCTCTGGTGGGACAGGCCTGTGCACTGCCACCCGGATGCTCTTGCCTACTATGTAGGGGAAAGTCGAAAAGCGGCATTTAGAAAGGTGTAAGCTGAGTATATGCTGCCTAGTAAGTGAGTAACCTGGGGTTGATCAGGGACGCCTCTCACCCCTACGACCTCCGGGTCAAGGCACCTCACCTCCGGGTGAGTTCCCTGGGATTACTTTTGGGTTTCCTCTGTCTCTGAATCATCACTTTGATGTCATAGCTAGACCTCTCATTGTGTGTCCTACTGTCCTCCTACCATGCATTAGCGGGAAGACTGGATGGGGGATGAAGGAGTACAGCCCATGGTTTCTCTACATCTTTGGATGCTGAGAACTATGGAACCTGGCATCTATGCCATGGTTTCTCTTGTTGCTTTGTTGCTTTTCTCTATTTAAAAGCTGTTCATTGGCAGGCTTTCTACTAGAAGTGCTTACTGGAGGTGTATTGATGGTCAGTGTGTGTTTTTTGCTCTTATATTGCGCATTATGGGGGCTAGAGTGTTTCTTTCTGCACTGTCGAGTCACGAACGACAGGGTGGAAAGGGGAACTCTAGCTCTTGCGTAGATATGAAGCTGTATAGAGTTGTGCTGACTTCATTTCTTTACACCTTGGTTGTTTCTCCCTCCGGGGAACCTGCACTGGTGTGCACTGGCCCAAGTCCGGGAAGGGTGAGAATGATGCTTATGTGTTGTATTTTAGCTACTTTGTGTTTGCTTTGTATGCAATGATTGCTTCTCTGGGTTATTCAACTGGTCTGATTCAAGTGTGCAGTTCAGTTGTCTCTATCTACTTTAGGGCAGGTCAGCTAAGGACTTGGTGGTCTGACTATCAGTAGTAAGTAAGGCTGGACTAGTAAGCTTGAACTAGACAGTAAGTAAAGCCTCACTAGTAACTTTGGGGCTAGTAAGTAAGGCTAGACTAGCAGCTTTGAACAGGCACTAAGTAAGCCTGAACAAGCATGAAGTAAAGCCAGACCAGTAAGCTTGAAAGGTCAGTAAGTAAGGCCAGATGAGTGACTTTGAATAGAGCAGTAAGTAATGCCTGACTATTAACTTTGAACACTATAGCAACCTTGAACCAGTCAGTTTGAAGGATAGTAAGTAAAGGGAGACTAGTAACTTTGAACAGGATTGTAAGCATAGCCAGTAACCCTTTGAATGAGGCAGTAAGTCAGCTCAGAGTAGCCAGACTAGCAACTTTGAATGATGCAACAACTAAGCCTACACTAGTTGCTTTGAATGGGGTAGTAAGTAAGCCTGAACAAGTATGTTGAAGGATAGTAAGTAAAGCCAGGATAGTGACTTTGAATAGTCTAGTAAGTAAAAACCCGGAGTAGACTTTAAACAATGTGGTAAGTAAGGGTGCACTAGTAACATTGAACAGCTTAGTAAGTAAACCCAGACTAGAGCTTTGAACTGATCAGTAAGTAAGAATAAGGTGGTAAGTAAAACTCCGGACTAGTGAGACTTTGAAGAATGCGGAGACCAGTAAGTTTGAACACAACATTGAATGGCAGTCAGTAAGCCTGGATTAGTTGCTTTGAATTGGGTAGCAAGTAAGCCTCAATGAGTATGTTTGAAGAATGGTAAGTAAAGCCATGCTAGTGACTTTGAATAAGGTGGTAAGTAAAAACCCGGACTAGCAACTTTGAACAATACAGTAAGCATAGTGACTTTGAACAGTGTAGTAAGTAAGCCCGGACTAGAACTGTGGACTGACCTGTAAGTAAGGCTGGACTAGTAACTTGGAATAAGGTGATAAGCAAAACTCCGAACTAGGGACTTTGAATAGACTAGTAAGTGAAAACCCGGACTAGTGCCTCTAAAGAATGTGGTAAGTAAGGTAGGACTAGTAACTTTGAACAGGGTGGTAATAGCTTCAAACACAGTATCAAGTAAGCCTGGACTAGTAAGTTTGAAGGGCAGTAAGTAAGACCAGTAGCACTAGTAAGAAAGGCTAGACTTTTGGGTTTTAATGCTGTAGCAACTTTGAATAAGAAAGAAAGTAAGTAAGACCTGA